GGGGGGGGGGGGGGGGGGGGGGGGGGGAAGGGGGGTGACTAGTGGGAAGTTTATTGTATTTAAATTACAACTCTATACATATATTGCACTACCTATCAGTACTCATCCCTGATCACTCGGCATGTGATTGAAGTTTGTCCGCATCTTGATTGTGCGGGTCAGAACAATTGTAAAGTATGGGTCAGAACAGTTGGCTAAGTACGTTTATCCCGACAGTTCCATTTTCTTCAGGTAGATGAAAATTCAGCACTGAATTGCCGCATACCGAAAACATTTTCGGATTCGCTTGTTGGTACATGTACGAAGGCAAATGATTCAGTGATAATTCGCTTGCGTGAAAAACCAATGCTACCGCGCGAAATGTCATATAAAGCCAATCAGGATTATTTCTTTATAAGTCTGTTATTCTATGCTACTTGGTTATGTTTCAAAAGTGAAATTCATTGAATAAGAGGGGTATTTAGCTGACATTTTGTTGATTAAATTCTTCAGTTTCTTAACACTTCATGAGTATGAAATAGCCAGTACAGTAAAAGATATCTCAAAACTGTTGCAACGCTGTAATGTTTTTGTGCGTTTTCACATCTTGCGCAAGTGCAAGAACACAGATTGTCGAGAGTCCGTACTTGTATGCTGGGAAGTGAGTAAACTTTATCACCTACTTCCAATCCAGCAACGGAGGAAGCGGGAAGCTGAATTTTGGGAGCATATTCTATGTTTCATCCTCCTTTTTTATGCGTTTTGTGCTGTGTAACAACAGTACAAAACGCATATTGTTACGGGGTTGTCTGTGTGTGTGTTTGTGTGTGTGTGTGTGTGTGTGTGTGTCCGCAGCAGCTTGTCCGCAACTTTCAACTCGGGAACCACAAAAGTTAGGAAGCTGAAAATTTAGGACCCACCCGCGCGTGACCCAGCAAATTTAAATTCAGCTTCCCCGTACTCACGGGTAACGCGTACGGCCCCCTGAAACTTTTTCACGGGTAAGTAAATATCTCGGGAACCACGGA